AATCTTTGTTTGAGGGGTAGACAACCTTAATAGTGTTTTGAAGAGATATGAATTCTCCATTGAATATCGGAATAATATACTGGGTGTTCCATTTAAAATAATAGAGTAACATGTTTTTAAAGTGACCAATGTTCAATATTAATTTTGTCTCACCTTGTATAACTTTTTGGATCAAGTTTTAATTTGATTTAAAGGTAAAGTACAATAGTTAATTTAACTACATATTGGGCTATACCGCGTAAATTTCAATTTATGTAGCTTTTATTGTAATTTAAAAATTGTTCTTTATTTCTAGAAAATGTTAAATATGTCAAAAACCTTACATTTTAGTCATATACTTTTCTTATAAAACTCACCTTTATTTTTCTCTCAGAATCCGAAAATCAATTAATATATAGGGTGTTCCATTACAAAAAACACAGCTTTGATATGTAATTTTTTTGGGGGACACCCTGTAGAACTCTCTATATTTTTAAAAAGTGCTCTAAATTAACCTACATATGCTCACAAAGTTTCATTTCAATACCAACTGTCGTTCTCCTTGGAGCCTCCGCGGCGTATGAAAGGCGCCACCCTGTATTTATGGCCTAAATTGAAATTTAAATGCTATTGTTCTATAATTGAAAATGTCAAAAGTTGAAATATGATGTCATTCAATTCAGATAATAATAATTATTATTGAATACTTAATTATTGAATAATAATTTATAATTTATGTCATATAATAAAATACGAAAACTCATGATACACCCGGTATACCATCTTCGTTAATCAACTGTACTAATAATTAAATCTAGTTGAAACCATGTATTTTTCTGTTTATTTCTGAGAATAGGTACAATTTTGTACAGTAAAGTAGAGAAAATACACTTTGTATATTGTATTGTCCAACAAAATATTACACACTTTTATGAATGAACTTTATGCATAAATCTTACGTTAATTACTTAATTCGATGCAGGTATGGGTACTGCCCACCAAAAGTAGGTACCGATAATTTATTCGAAAACAGTACCGTACGAAATTTACAATTCATACGTGTTACTTGATGCCGTGAAAGTTTTTAAATTATTAGGTACTTACTTGTTTTACAACGGAATAATTACAAGCTATTTTTCTTACGGTTGAAATTTATTGTCGAGTACTACATAATGCCCAGCTCTGGCCGTTTACTTGATTGTACCAAATAAAGACAAGAATTTTTAAACATCAATTTCGGTAACCTATTTTAAGCCAGTTGAAGTTTATTTATTGATTTTTTAATGACTACAGAATAATAGAACAATTAGAATTACATAATGACAAATCATTCATAAATCCACATTATTTCTTTGCCATTGCATTAAAGACAGGATCGACTTCATGAGACACTTGACAGTTTTGCTTTTTAGCCGACCATACCAATTTAAAAATTTTAAAAAATCGTAACTCCAAAATTACAGTAGCTAGCGAAACGCGGTTTTCAATTTAAGATTAGGAATAATATTTGCAACAAAATTTGTAATAACATCAAAATCAGTCAAAGTCGCAGTTTTTGAGATAAAAAAAATTGGAAAAAATCCTTTACTTTGAAACTAAAAGAACTGCCTACCAACTTTTTATTAATATATTTTAGTATGGGCCACCGTGGGCTATACGTGCCACCCGGCGCCAATTTTTTTGCTTTTTACTTGACACTTTTGAATTTTATTTTAATTTTTGTGAGTTTGTAGGGCGTTTCATAGTTAAGTTGTTTCAGTAGTGTATCTGTATTTTTGTTACTTAAATATTTATATTTTATTAGTAGAAATATATTTTAAAAAAAATCAGCCGAACAAAAGAATACGAACTTCCACTAACCATAATAAGTAATAATCATTTTTTCTAAGATTTTGGAATATGACGTTGTAGTGTTTAGCAAAGCGCAACTTTTCTTTGGTTTAATCTTTGTATCTCTTTTGGTTTACGACATCATTGGTTACATACCGGGTACATCCCAAAAGTGGCTCACTTTTATAACTTTTTTATTGTGTCAGTTAAGAAAACAAGATTTGGTTTGGGTTGGTTAGGCTTTTGACATTTTAGTATCTATACTAATATATAAAATCCTTAAGTGACTGACATACTGATTAATCACGATCCTGCTCAAACCACTCAATGTAAGAAGCTCAATTTTGGCATACAGGTTGGTTCTAGGGTGTAGAGGTTCGATAAGAAGGCATTTTTCGAAATTCCAGTTCCAAGAGGGTAAAACAACCCCTCAAATATTACAATATTTTTTATTTAAAAAACGGTCAAATTTCCGAAAAAACGCTTAAACACGTATATTTTATTTTGTTGTTTTACATATTTTAAGATTTTTTATAAATTTATACAGGGTGTTTCATAAAATATGACCATTAAGTAATCACGATTCTGCTTAAACTGCTTGACGTTTAAAGCTGATTTTTGGCAAACAGATTGACTGTGGGGTGTAGAAGTTCGATAAGGAGGGGTTTCTCGAATCTCAAATTCCAAGTGGCTGAAAACGCCCCTCAAATATTACAATATTTGTTATTTAAAAAACGGTTAGTCTTAATAATTAATAATAATTTATTTGTTTTTTTTCCATATTTTGAAATTTTTTAAAAAATCATACAGGGTGTTCCAAAAAGTTGGGTAATTTCTTAACCACGATTCTGCTTAAACTACTTGACGTAAAAAGCTTATTATTGGCAAACGGATTTTTTGAAAGTCAAATTCCAACGAGATGAAACTACCCCTCAAATATTACCAAGTTATATAATAATATCGCCATATTGTTTATTGTCATGCTGATATAAATGTGAGAAAATTTTATCCAGTTTGTATGTTAATGGAAATTCTTGCTTTGCTTTATCATCACCATTAGAAATGATTAATTCGACGAGAACGAAGTCGCTGGTACACGCTAGTATGATATAAATTAGGATTGATTGACGTATTCAATTGTTTTTGGTTTTTGATTTTTATAACAAATATGATTGTTAACTGGCAACCACGGTATTATATGACAACTTTTGATATTTTCGCATATGGTTTGTTTGAAATTGTAACATGGGGTTCATAACGACAATTGGATTCGAAATACCAAGTGTGTGGTATCAAATTATTCGTAAAAAATGCTTTTTCCAAATATGCTAATGAGCCACCCTCGTTCCATTTGAAAAAAAAATGAGATATGATTAAAAATACGATTTGAACATCTTTTAACCAGCCAGTACAAGACACTAAAAACATTAGACAATCAAATCTATTTTTCCAAGGCTCCTTGATTAAAAATTAGCGTTTTTAACATAACATCAGATAATGTAAAAAAATACCGAGGGTGTCAAAAAGTTGTCAAAAGTTGACATATGATATGTCATTCTATTCAGAGTGTCATTTTCTGTCAAATAAAGTAAAAAAATACCGAGGGTGCAATTTAAAAATCAAAAGTTGTAGTCATTTCCGGTGAAACAGGAAGTGACCAAAAACAATTGAATACGTCAATCAATCCTAGTTTAAGTCGTATACCAAATCTCGTTTTTTTATCTGAAAAAATAAAAAAGTTATAGGGGGTGAACCACTTTTGAGAAGCACCCGGTAAAGTGTGTATTATTCATATCTAGTTCACTGTGTACTGTGTATATTCATTAACTATTACTTTTTTATGTCAAATAATAAAAAATAATAATTTTGAGAAAAAGAAAGCCATAAGGAGAAATATTTTAATACCCTTATACCGGGTGAGTCTTAAATAGCTGCAAATATTTTCAGGGCTGGTAGATCTCGATAAAAGAAACATATTTTCTCTTTACCGTTTTTCAAGTCCAAAATAACCGTCATATTTTATTTTGAAAATTTGAAAAAAAATATTTCTCGCTTACATTTTGAGAACCGCTGGATCTTTTCTTAATTTTATTTCATGTAAATTTAATCTGCTACCTATGTTGCCATATTATTAATGAAGATATGTGTTTTAACTAGAGATGAGCAAAACAGCGATTCTCTAATCGCAATTGAAACTGCGGTAGCGATTTTTAAATCGCTGCGACTGTAACCTGCGATTTAAAACATTGAGATATGATTAAACATACGATTTGGGTATCTTTTAATCGTCCAGGACAACACACGAAAAAGAATAGACAATTAAATCTTTTTCCAAGGATCCTTGATTAAAAATTAGTGTTTTTAACACAGTCATGACACTCTAGATTGAAATTTAAAATACGACGTTTTAAGAGTAAATATCAAAAGTTAACATATGATATGCCATTCTATTCAGAGTGTAAAAAAATACCGGGGGTGCCATTTAAAAATCAAAAGTTGTAGTCATTTCCGGTGAAACAGGAAGTGATCGAAACCAATTGAATACATCAATAAATGTAATTTATGTCATATAACCTAACCTAACATACCAAATTTCGTTTTTTTATCAGAAAAAATAAAAAAGTTATAGGGGCGAATCACTCTTGAGAAACACTCGGTATATTATGATCTTGGCCCTAAAAAATAATACCTTTTGTATACATAAATAGATTCAGATAAAAAATGCAATCGCAGATAGAAGATTATCACGGTTCTAGTTTACCAAATCACAATTGCAGCAAAATCGCAACTCGCAACTATAGTAATATTGGTTGCCTAAATTGGAATTCGCAAATAGAAGAAATGGCAGTCGCAGTTTCCTATGTGAGCCAATCGCAATCGCTGCGATTGAATCGCACTTTACGATTTGTTGCTCATCTCTAGTTTTAAATAAAATTTTAAAAAAATCCAAATTTTCAAAAAAATTACCACTACTTACTGCTACCTATGTGGCCATATTATTAATGAAGATTATCTGCTTTAACTAAAAATTTAAAAAAAAATCTAAATTTTCATTTAACGTTCAAAAAAAAATTGCGAAAAAACCTCATAGGCGTGTTTCTGGGGTTGAAATATGCCACCCCTGAAAATATTCGCACTTATTTAAGATTCACCCTGTAAACAGCTAAAACATAAACAAACAAAATGCAAACCTTGACACAGAAGAAACGAAGAATCACAAAATAATCCTTTAGTGCTTTGGGGACTCAAACCAAAACAAAATTTTCTTCAAAATATCAGTCTTTTTTTCCAAAAAACGTCAATAATTACTAATTCACCATCGTGTTACACTAAAACCAACATCTTCACCATCATAGTCCTATACTAAAAATCTACTTCCTAACGAACCGAAAAAAAAACTCCGCTCCACGCGCGCGTCTTGCTCTTCTTCCTCAACTTTTTCTTCTTCTCGCGCTACCTGCGGGATTCACCTGCGAGACTGAACAACGACCATCTTCATCTTCCACCTCCGGACGCGTACGACACAGACACACACATGAGAAAGAGACACCAGTATACCGAAAAGAAAGAAGAAAAAAGAAGCAGAAGAAGGAAGTCGCGCTAAACAGGGGCGGCCGTGGCCGTTGGTCTGCGGCCGGCATCAGTCGGTCAGCAGGACCACGTATGGGGGCCAAGACCATGACCGCGGGTCGCGAGGGGCCAGGGGGGTCCCAGTGACCCAGACGAACGTGTGATGGGTTGGGAGGGGAACGAAGAAGTAGACGCGTACGGTGCGTGCGTGTTGGTTTTTTTGTGGGTTTTCTTTTATTAAATGGATTGGTTTAAAGGCGTTTAGAGGGATAAAAGACTTTTCGTGATTATATCTCATTAACAAAATCGAAACATTTAGTTATTTTTTAGACAAGACGATAAAAAAAAGGCTGTAATTTTTGTGCTCCATCTGTTGTCCGTTCTTCTTGCCAGGTCTCCTGTCCATTACCATTTGAGGGATTTGACTCTGTGGATGACATCTATTACCTGGGCCTTTTGTCGTATCCACTCCATTCTTTTACGGCCTCTCTTGATTATTCCGAGCATATTTCCTTCCATTGAGCCTTGTGCGACCTGCATACATACTGCCATTACTCGCTGACGAGTATTTGATACGCATCAAAAGATGGTCACGCAAGGCGTTTTCTTTCATGATCTTTTCTGTTACTGAAAAGCCCGATACGTGATGTTATCTGCCTACCGCACTCCGGACATTCAAAAATCTCATTGCTTTGTTGTCTCTTTACTTTTTGATTATCGCTGTTAACTGAGTTTATAATTATTCTCCATTGAGTTCTATTGTGAGCTACTTCTTCCTACTCATTCTGCATATTAATCCCCTTCAAGTTTTCGTGAAAAATATCCTTGTACCTTTTGAGTTGTCCACCCGGCCACACCGTAAAGCAGAGATTTTGGTATGCGGTTTTCTTGCACTCTGCATACGTGACCAGCCCATCTTAAGCGGGATTTTGTAACTATGACTTCAATACTCTCGCAGTTATTTTTTTCAAGGACCGATACGTTTGAGACATGATGAAACCATCGGATTCTTAAGAGTTGACTAAGATGTCTCTGTTGCAACTTGTTTAATACGTTCATGTATCGACGGTACGGCACCCAGGTTTCGCTCTCATATAACATCGTGGGGATTATATTTGCTCGGTACACTGCAAGTTTCGTTTTTGTACTCAAATCATGATTTTAATTTCTTTGTCATGTCTTTTAATTTCCAGAATGCTCTTGAGGCGCTGCTCAATCAAACTGCCAAATGTCTACAAAAATGGTCCATGGTAAGTCCCTAACGCGTACGGTGCGTGCGTGTTGGTTTTTGTAGGTTTTCTTTTATTTAATGGATTGGTTTAAAGGCGTTTGGAGGGATAAAAGTCACATGCTCACACTTAGAAAATATACGACCTGAACAAATAAACTTTGGGAATGTTTTGAGCGATGTACGCCGTCGTCAGTTTGATGTGGTACTACTATTTTTTATTAATGTAATGCTAACTATAACGAGCTTCATTGTTTCGTCATCTTCCATACAGAGTCGGCATTCGGTGTCTTCCACCAATCCCATCCTCTGTAGGTGTGATCTCAGCCGGCAGTGGCCCGTGTTTACTGCAGTGAGCGTACGCGTTCCATTCCTATCAGCCTTTAAAAGTTCTCCTGTTCTCTGTTCTACATTTGGATAACTCTGCTAGGATTTTCTCGGCATATTCTATTCGGGAACTGTCATTCCAGTCTTGAAACTTCACACCCTAACCCATTCACAGAGCCTGTCTCTTGCAAGATTTTTTGATACGCCAAATGTCGGTTCTGGGCTCACGAATAGCGAATCTGCACCAGTTTTGGCGAGGGAATCAGCACGTTCGTTTCCCTCTAGGCCGACATATCCCGGTATCCATATTAGCGACATTTTGTTTCTATTTCCTAATATATTGAGTAGTTTCTTACAATGAAAAATCGTTATAGACGTGCTTTTCGTTGCCTCAATGAGGCTTGACTATCCGAAAATATGTTTATTATTTTTCCGGTGTATTGCTGTTCTACCAGCAGTTGCATACAGGTTTCAACAGTATAAAGCTCAGCTTGGAAAATTGTGGTGTGTTTTCCAAGACTGTGGTAGATCTCAGTCTTTGGACTGCTGCAGTAAATTCCTGCGCCAGATAATTTTTCGTTCTTGGATCCGTCCGTGTACCAACACATTTCCGCTTGTTCATGTCGTACTTCCCAGTCATATGTCCTGTCGTAATACGCACTTTATTCCTGCTAAACATCAGCAGTTTCTTTGTAGTTTTAGAAATAGGTTCTTGGATGAAGCCTTTGCTATGCGTATGGCCTGTCTGATTCTTAAAAGGAGGGTCTGCCTTTCCTGATCCAGAGTTTTACTACTCCACGGGTTATACATTTTGATATTTCCAGTACTGGTTCTGAACCAAGGTCCTGGATTCAGACGATCCTAGCACATCGGCTTTTTGGTTATCGTGGATGCCGCTATAGCACTACACCCACTATAATGAAATTATATTCCTTTTTATCAGAGTACCAAGTTTATCTCAGATAACATTTCTAGACGATAAGTTTAAATTCATAAGTAAAAAATTTTCCTATTCCTCAATGGAAAATCTGATGGAGTCATTGTAAGAATTCAGGTGATTGAGAAATGACTGTCTATCATTTTCTATTCAATCATATCAAGGCCTGGAATCCAAATATCAAAGCCATATTTTATATTTGATAAATGCGATATTATGACAAACGTCCAAGAACATCTTTCATATCGCAACTTGACAATTTCGAATTTTCAGAAATAGACATAAAAAAGAACGTACCTTCCTACGCCTCTGCACCTTGCTACTAAGTAGGTAAATGAGACGTAGGTAGCAAGAGGAACCGATAATGAATGAAAACGACAGATGAATCGAGCGGTGGTACTGCCGTATGCCAGTGTGCGTCCGTCCCATTGACGCACTTAACGCTTCAACTAATTTATCGGAGCTAGACGAAGAAAGGCATTAAAATGAATAAACAGAGGAGGATAAATCAGAGAAGAATAAAGTTACGAGTTGGCGAAGAAATCTTTAAAATTTTTCTCAAACTCTTCATTGTATTAATCTGAAATTGCTAAAACCATACAAAGTGATTAGGTTTTATTGTTTTTAAGTTTAATGTTTTACAGTGTTGCTAATTTTATTTTTAGTTAAATGGATACTTGATTGGTTTTGAAACAAACCAGCAACTTTGTAAATTCACTAAAAGGGCTCTTATTGTCTATCCAATGAAAAGATCCTTGACAGTGATAGATGTGTCTGTCATTTTAATTTCAAAGTAGTTTATTTTATTTTACAAAGAAATAAGTTGGTACAACTGGAACGCATAGCAGGACCTTAATATATTTAAAATTTGACTGATAAGTGATTACTTCAAAATATTGTGAACAAAAAAACTGTATAAAACTGAAAAAATGTAATCGAGTTATTTTATTTAAAAAAAGGTATGTGTTAATACAAAACAAACAAGAACAAAACACCACATACCAAAAAAATATAAAAAAAAACTATTTCTTACTTTCAAGCTTCAAGGAACTTCCCGCATTTATTATTATATTTATCAATATAACTTATGTACAAATACAAATTTGTAATTATTCCAACGGAACAAATAAAACAAACTATTTTATTAATAATAACACTTACCAAATTTTATACCTTAAAGGTTGATTAATTAACTTTAATTTTAATTTTTTTAAACCAGTACCTTTTGACATTATTTTTCTGCAGTACTAAAATCCATTATTTGCCTATCGTGTGATGTCGATATTTTACAGCTACTCCAGTAGTATATGTTTAGTATGATCCTTGTAGCATCTACGAGATGCACTTATCTACGACGAGATGGTATACAAACAAAATGAAATGAAATGAAATGAAATATCAGTCTAATAACTATTAAGTCAACATGTTTAATTTATGTCAATGATGACATGTATTGATAATTTCGATTCCAAATGTATATATATATATATATATATATATATATATATATATATATATATATATATATATATATATATATATATATATATATATATATATATATATATATATATATATATATATATAATATATATATTAATATATATTCAAATCAGTTAAAAAGTATGTAGGTGGTGCCATCTACAAGTAGGAGTCATATTGACATCAAAATCAAATTTCTCATAAAAAACTCCCAGACACCAATTTTCATCCAAATATTGACGTTACTTCATAAATTATTTGGAAAAAATCGAAATAAAAACGAAACTTCTACACCCTGTATCTCCGAAACTAAGCAATTTAGGATATACATTTATACAAACTTTTTTACTTATTTTTATCTGCAGAATATGCTGCCAAAGTTTCCGGAATACAGTTCGGACCACCCTGTATATAAACTTGCAAAAAGCGACCATACTTTTAGACTAAGTTAGACTAGTTTTTAGACTAAAAACACAAACTTGACAAATTTATGCCTTAAAAAGCCGATTTGTTGGTCATTACTGACTAACGTATAAAAACGTGTTGGTCTTTGCATGATATTTTGACGACATTTCGTGCACTACGAAACCCCATCATCAATGAATCAAATCAAAAAGACATCCAATTTAAATGACATCTGGTATGTCTATAGATTGGACCAAGGCCAACTTGACCATGTACAACACGTGTCACTGTGGCAGTTGGTTTTGACGTAAGAAACGTCAAAATTTGATGTGCTCTGATCAAAGAAAACAAGGTATGATCGATGGCGGTTCCAATTTCGTTAAGTTTGCGCATACCACCTGTGACGTCATAGGCCATACAAAAAAATATCCATATTGTTCAATTGCCACTAATAAAAAAAGACCAAAAACAGGGAAGAATTAGGATATAACCCGGAAAAATCATAAATATTAAAAGTTATGTCAAATCATCGAGCTTGAAATTTGAAAAATTATTTTCACATTTATTGTGTCATCTG